TCATCATTATTCAACTTTCAGGGGCTGTGGCGCTCTGTAAATAGCAGGCACTTTACGACCTGGGCCAGGTTTTCAGTGGGCGTACCAGTAAACAGCAACTGCTACTTCTGCTACTTCTGCTGCTGTTGCTGCTGCTGCATGGAGCAGCACGTGCCGAGCATATTGAATGCAGCATTGGATGCACTGCAGCACTACTTTTGAAAAATCGTCAAAGTTGCTGCTGTTGCGGGTCTTTTTGGCCAACTGACAGTGGCCGCCATTTACCTACACATTTATCTATATGTTTATATATGTCTGTAGATGTGTACGAGCACGAGCGCTGCTTAACCCAGTTTCTGGCTAGTGCACGTGAGTCCTCGCTAATCATTTGTCTTCCTTGACTGCATTTTCCACTTGGCAGTACTGCGAAGTTTCCATTACGCACTGACAACTGATTGCCAAGTTTATTATTGCTTCCGTTTGCTTATGAGCAGCCAAAGGATTCGCCATTTCTTTCCCGTTTGCCAATGCTGGCAACAATTTATCAAGCCATGTGCCCCGCACACACAAATATTCTCCATGGAATTGCGAATGATTCCTCTTTTGGGCACATTCATTTGTTATCCCTGACACTTGTTGTGCTACATGTTAGCTCAAAGCTATTCAAAAGTGTCATCTTATATGACTTGCATGTGAATATTGCAAAAGAGTTGTGCATAGATATTAAAAGGTTAAATTCCCCAATATATAAAACAGCAGGTAAAAAACTTGGCAACCAGCACAACTTATATAAATTGCTAAATGAATATATTCAAGATGTACACTTTTACCATTAACCCACTAAACTTATTGAATTAGAGCATTTTAGGCAGCTGGAAGGCAGACTCTAATCTCTAAATGATGTGGAGTAATTAGCGTAGACTGCACGTAACTAAAATTCTACAAATAAGCTGTCGAACTCAATGACTTTTATAATTTGACAATGATTAGTCGAAAAATATTGTAGACGGTAGAGTTTATAAAGATAAGATTAGCTGACAATGAAATACATTTATGTTCAAGATAACGTACGCTATCAAACATCGACTCGATTTAGGAATTTGTATGTACTTCGATTAGCTGAAATGATATAACAGGGAAGACGAAGAGTCAGGAACAGGTGTTACTTTGTCAGACAAGCAGCTACCGTTAAATGCTCCTAAGTGTTAAATGACTCATTCAGTGAATCAATTAGTTTGCTTTACTTATCAGGTGTAGCAGGTCTACTGACTAATACACTTGAAATTGAAATGCGATAATAATTGCCCTATTGTTTTTCCTGAGCTTAAAGTTAATAGCCAGACAATGTGCCCACTATTTTGTTTATTTAACATAAAATAAAAGAGAAATTAAATATTAGTTATTATATATGTCGATAATTATCGCTTAAATTCCCTTATTCATTCGCAGTTCCATTGGAGTCCAGTTTCTTAATGATAAACCGCATTGAGACCGCATATAAATGCCAAGTGCTCGCCTGCTTTGTCGCTTAAGTTATCCGCATTGAACTTGACATAGCTTCATGTGATGCTCAATGGAGATGCATCAAGTCACAAAACGGCTGCATTTAAAAAGCTGTAAAAGCTGGGCGAACGTTGTGTGTGTGACAGCACTTGACACTGCCACGCCCACGCACACAGACACAGACACACACGAGAAAGAGGAGGAGAATGGGTGGTGGGTGGCAGAAGCCAAACAATCGAAGCCACAGCAATTGAATGTCACTCACAAAAATGCAATCACAGTTTGACACAATTTACACCGAGGCGCCACTTCAACACGTTGCAACTGCAATATCTTTGCACCGAGACTGCCATACAAGCAAGCCAGCACACGAACGACAACTCTGCAAACAACACAATGACAACTCTTTAACACTGTTAAGTTGGCGTTGACGTCCCTGTCATTTGCTCTGCAGCTCATGTCGCTGTATTACTTACTGTACTATTTTACTTATGCTTCGCATGTGTAAGCGAGGGTGCTACTAATCCTGCCTTATATTTGTACCAATATGTGTTCTCATCGATCCCGATTATGGTTTCTTTTATTATAAAATGCTAGAGTTTCAAATATTTTATAGTCCAGTTTTTAAATTATAATTGGTTATCTTAATTAATTAAATTTGTAATTATTATTAATTTTAATGGCTTAAATTATATCTCTTATTTTTAATGTAAACTACAAGACGTTAAAACATTTCAGAATCGAGTTTTTAAATAATATTTGGCTATCTTTAATTATTTAAATTAAATATTCAGCTTATTATATCTTGTATTTGTACTCAATTCAGAGAACTTACTGTTTCTTTTTATTTTTTATTTCCTATAATTCAGATTTTTTTTTTTTGTATATGCAATTTTATAAAATTAATTATGAAATCTTACAATCTTAAAAAGTTTTTGGTGTATAAATGATAAACTTTATTATAATGAATAATTACTTATAAGATTGTAATTGTAAATTTCTCAAGTTTTCGTAATATTTATTTCTTTATTTAATATAGTCGGAGGCCATCTAAACGCCTATTATTTTATATCCCCACCGAAGAAAAACATTGCTTAGTCCTTTAGAGTATTCAGAGTATTCAACGAAATTTATTTGATTTTCTGGTTGCTATTGTTGTTGTAGTTGCTGCTACTGCTGCTGCTGCTGCTATCGTTATCGTTGCGTTCATCTCCGCAGCGCGTGCTCGAGTGCATTTACACTCACACACAGTCAAACAAATAGCACAAACACAAACATATGTATGCCATTGCCGAATGCCACACACAGGACATTTTTGTTGTTTGATTGCGTTTTTATCATCGTCATTTCAGGAGCGCCTGGCAACCCTGCCATTGGGTAAATGGGTAAAGTGTACACATACATATATGTATATGTATATAGCTGCAACTGCAGCGTCTCTGGCGATATTTTACAGCTCCAACATTTTATTACAAACATTGTGCAATTTCACTTTAAACGTCAATCGAATTTCATTTGATTTTTACGACCATTTTCTTCACCCCACGCGCCACCTCGTCACCTCTTCCTGCCTCCATTTTTGCTTTCTTCCACTTTTCTTTTTTTTTTGGTCCCTTGTATACTTCGCCAAGCTTTTGACTTTCTCAACTGCAATCTCATTCACATTGCTATACCCTATACAATTCTCAGTATGAGAGTGAGAATATTATATGCCATTCCATTCGACTGAGGCGATCCTTTCGCGTCCATATGCATACAGTAGTAGGTAAAATTCCAAATGATAATACTTTGATTTGTAATAAGGTGTATCACACATTATTATATATATATATTTTTTTTTAATTGAATGTTTTGAATGTACGTACAGGGTATTTGATAGTGTAGCACTCTGCGTTTAAAGCAATTTCTCAGTGGTTATTCGCAACAACATTTTATTTATCGCACATATTTTGTGGCATCGTCAATGCAATCGTATTATCATTCAGCTGCTGCACCGTGTGTTGTATTGTGTTGTCTGCGTGTGTCAAATTTAATTAACTTGATATTTATTAAGGCAGACACTTGCTATGCAAATTTCTTGATATGATTTGCTTAGACACTTAATTTGTCAACGCTTCGTTGATTTACGATTTCGATTCAAATGAGTGATTTGAAAGTGTGTGCGTTCCACAAAGTCAGCATGTGATTAGCTGAGGGGATCCTTTTCTTGAAAATGGAGCTCCACTTTGCAGACATATACACATTTGGATATACATAGAATGCCAATACAAATTAAAGTACTTTAAATTAAATTTCTCTGATGAATTGAGTTAAGCACAGCGTGCTTTTCTTTAAGAGATGATTCACTCTTTAGGGTTTCACAGAGTATACCTCTATGAGAATTTATAGTTATTGAATCATAAAAAATGAGATGTAATTTAACAAACGGTTTTTTCAGAAACTTATTTCCCTTGACTATAAGGTATTAACTATTGATATATTACAGTTGTGCTTCAACTTTTAAAATGATGTTGGCTTCCATTTTAATCACTGCTTTACGTGCAATGAGAAGTAAATTATCGAGGTCAATATGTGAAAAAAGCGACTACAAAGCCAGTATTACTATAGAGTACTCCCAGCTAAGAAAAACCTTCGAGAATTGAGTCTCAGTTCAACCAGGTTTCTTTCGCTCTCAAAAGGTGTGTGCCGTGAAGCGTGCTGTACATTTATGAAAAGAAATAAAGAAATGTCAAAAGTAATTGAACCACGTAGGCGGACCCACTTCTAAAACTTGTTAACTCTTCTGCTCAGAGCGACCTCATGTGCTACATTAACTTTCGCTTTTGTGTAGTTTCGGGCGATGGCTTTTGGCGGGGGCGATGGGGTCAAATGAGGTTTGCATGTCTGCGCCATTTTCGCAGAGTCATCGCATGATTTACGTCAAATCGGCTTTGGCCAAGTAATCATGTAGTTCACACACACCCGCACACCAGCCATTCGAAAAGACCAACGTAGAGCAACGCTTTTCGCACAGAGCTGGACACAATTATGGGCGGGCCAATGGGACTTTCAATTTCACTGGGCTAGCTTTAGGTAAACAGCTACACAATTCGCCTCCCTTTTCAGCACAGCCAGCTGCGATCAAGTCAAGCATGCAACAACCGCAAGTGGCACGCAAACGCATCAAATCAATGGAAGTGGCCACTGCGCCAAAGATTTGCACTTCATTGACTCCAAACCATGGACGAACTCTACAACACAGCTGGCTAGCCACCGAGCTGGCCCAAAAACTCAATGAACTCCAGGCCAAAAATGTTGTGAAAAGCGCTTGTGGCGCTACTTAAAGCTTTTTTATTCCATACGTTTTTCACTCATTTTGCTCCATTTGGCAGCAGCCAGCATCTTATGAAAATGAAAATTGGAAAGAAAATGGAAAATTCTTCAACAGTGGCCTGGTAAAGAAAATATGCAATATGAGCTTTTGTAAAACACAGAATTAAAAGTAAAATATTATCATCGAATTAAAATTTAAGAATAAATTTTATAAATTTTCTGTTTTATTTTTTTTTCTTCTTTTTTTTTACATATATATAGAGCATCTACAGTTCGTGCAGTCTCAATACTACTACGTGTTTTTTTTTATCTAAACGTTATACGGAATTGCAGCTGTGTGTGCTTAGCCGTGAACGCCAACGCCCTAGCCACCTACTGCATTGGAACCCATCTCACTCGGCTCTCTTAAAATACGTATGCTTGATTTCATCTGAATACAAATAGCTTATCAGCAGCAGCAAAAAATATAAACGAAACTTTTATGAAAAGAAACTGAACGAATTGAGAAACCGAAAAAAAAAAATAAATAAATATAAACATTCGCTTATACATATGTAAAGATATTTAGAAAACTATGCATAAAAGCTCGAAGGCGAAAAAATCGTGTTCAACCATTGTTGAACTTGTGCAAAGAAACACAAAACATTATTGTTGAGAACTTTAAATTTGAATAGTCAAGTTTTTGTTGAATCATTGACAAGCAGTACGCGATTGTAATCTCTTCAACAAATATGCTCTACGTATACACACATACATACAGATTTTAGACGTATTAAACTAAGCACTTATTATATTTTAGTAAACATCCATAATATTGAAATTGCCAAGATTGCCAGCGTTCCAGTTGTTGGTCGCACTGCATCATTGCACTGATCCGGCGATTGTTCCGTCCAAATAATCTGCCTGGAGATGCCTGCCTTTTCAGCTAGCGTCTTAATGAAATCAATATATGTTGGACTTAGCTGTCTCTGGCGCGATAATAGCTTAAAGAGTGGTATTGGAGAGATGCCCGAGTAGCCGCATAGGAAAGTCACGTTTGTGTAATCAGTATAGATGATTTTATAGGTGACTGATACATTAATGTTGCCAGAGATGACATATTCCAAGCTGAAAGTGCTGTTCCTAGTTTTGTCATCCCACGGAAATGTAACCGTCTCTCTCTTAGCATAAGTTTCCCCATTGATTGAGCTTATGTATTCCAATTGCAGTTCCAAATCTTTATCCACAGCCGCTGGGACTGAGACATTGAGGCACTTTAAAATATCCATGTTAGGAACGCGTGCCACCTCGTACCAGTAGCCCGACACCTTGGTACGGCAAATTGGTTTAATTAGATAACAGAGCTTTCCTTAATATATTCAACTTACAGCTGTTAGATTCAAAGCACGTGGCCGCACATCTCTCTCGCAATCAAACCGCTTAAGTTTGGAAATTGAATTGAACTGTGAGTGAATGCCGAGTGCATTTAGAAGCAGCACAATAAATATCACAAATATTTTGATTTCCATATAAAGATCTACGCTCTCCAGCATCAGCTTAACGACTGAAAGCAACTCATTTTAGAATGTGTGGCGACTAACTATTGATAATGCTTGGCTTATCAGCAAAGCGTTGCTCAAATACATTGTATCTCTCTGTACATTTATTCATACATGATTATGCCGACTAAATAACAGAGCTAAAATAGGCCCATGCCATTGAATACCAATGTAATTAAATATCAACATGAACAACAATACAAATTATTAAATAAAAACATCATTTTCTTTTTAATTCTTTAATAATGAACATCTGTATAAAATAGAAATTGTTTGTATTCAATACAAATATATGCCGAAAAGATATTCGAACTATATAGAAATTCGATTAGTAGTCAATTTAAAAGTCCCCCAGCTTAAATGTATGATCGGAAACATCTGAAATCATTAACATGAACATGCTGAAAAAGCGATCTTGTGTAAAAAATTGGTTGTTCATTTTTGGAATCGTTCACACAATCAGATAAAACTCTTTCAAAGTAGGGCAAAAACTGTTTGAGTTTGTATTAATATTGAAATGTTTAATATTTATATTATACACATGTATTGGATAACTAGATCTTATCAGATTTCGCAAAAATTACTAATAACTACTTACAACCGGTGCTGATAACCTGTTGATAAACTGTCGCTAGTTCCATCTAGATAAGCACCACACGATAGCTAGAGCAAATATTGATATAGCTCCAATTGCTGGACGTACTGCAGCATTGCAGCGAGCGAATGATTGATCCGTCCAAATAATATCATCAGCGTAGCCAGCTGCAGTGAGAAAACTGTTGACCATCTCGATAGTTTGTTGACTAATTTGACGTTCGCGTGAGAAGATCTTTAAGAGCGGTATTGGAGAGATGCTCGCATAGCCGCAGATGAAAGTCACAACTTTCGGAATGGTGTAGACTATTTTATAAGTAACAGACATACTCGCTGATGGCCCATTGTAGTCCAAGTTAAATATTCCGTTTTGAGTGTTGTTATCCCAGGGAAATGTAATCGTCTCCTTGACAACCTGATCTTTTCCATTGATTCGGCTTAGATACTCCAATCGCAGGTCCAGTTGCTCATCCACAGTCGCTGGGACTGAGACATTCAAGCAGTTCATAACATCCTCATTAGGTACCCGGCCCGCCTCATACCAAATACCTGACAGCTGTGCGTTGGTTACGATTTAGAATTGAGGATTGAGTTTCAGGTCGAAATTAACTTACAGCCGGTAGATTGATTGCTTCCGTTGCGAAATTTCTGCAACTGATATCGGACGGAAGCTGAGATTGGACGCACTGCGTCCAGGTGAGAGCCAAGAGCAGCACAATCAATATTTTCGTTTCCATTCGAAGAACTGCGCTCTCCCACATTAGACCAATGACTAAAGCACGTGCAAAGCAGCCACAAGCTTCATACTGATATTACAATGCTTATCAGATAACTTTCATATATATTGCTGTAGTATTGTGACTGAACCACAGTTTCGATAAGTGCCTTGGCATCTATGATACATCCCTTATCAATACAATAAACCCAAAGTTGATATTATTGTGCTATCAATATGTTTGGTCTGATTATTTTAATTGTGTATACCTAATGTAGTAAAGTGGAATGAACCATTATGTGTCGATTACACGCTGAATCACACAAATCGGCTAGCAGAACAAAAGCTTAAGCAATGCTAAGTGCTCTTCGCATTTCTATAAATATCTAGCAAATTTTACAAATCTTATTATCTTAAAAAATACTGAAGCGTTTATGACTAATACCAAGGTAAGTCGCTAGTAACACCTCATCTTGAAATATTGCAAATTTGTTTTAATAACTTAAATCTTATTTATCTTAAGCAACTCTTTCTAACATAACCATAAACATCGTCTTCAAATAAGATTGCCAGAGCTAACAATATAAATAATCCAACTGCAGGGCTTAGTGCTGCAGTACCACAGTGCTCCGGTGATTGTTCTGTCCACATAAAGTGTTCTTCAACGCCCGACGTTACCAATTGAGCTTGGATAAAGTCTATAGATCTCTGATCTAGTTGTCGCTGGCGCGATAATAACTTAATTAGCGGTACTGGAGAGATGCCCGCGTAGCCGCATATTAAAGTCATGTGCTTGTAATCCGTATAGATCACTTTATAGGTGATAATTATCGACAGGGAACCACTGTAAAACAAGTGGAAAATGCTGTTCTTGGTAAAGTTATCCATGGGGAATTGAACTGTTTCCCTAACGCGCTGAATATCACCGCCTAAGGTGCTAATGTACTCCAAATGCAATTCGAGATTTTCATCCGCTTTCTGCGGCACTGAAACAACCAGGCACTTCATGACATCCGTTTTGGGAACTCGACCCATTTCGTACCAGTCACCCGACAACTGCGCATTGAAAGTAGCTCAGAAGGTATAAGAAAACAGATTGATTATAATAGAATCCGACTTACAGCCTGTAGATTTAGGGGCATTCCAAGAACATCTTTAAAGCAATCAAAGGTCGTGATTGGTGGAAATGTGAACTGCGATAGAACACTGTGCATCCAAATGAATCCAAACAGTAGTACGATAATTATTCTTTTCATAATCGATAATAATTATCATCCAAATGTATAGATGTGAACGTTTTATATTAACTTACTATTATTATAAATTTTAAACCTTGATTTGATTAGGAATTAGTTTCAAATTTATTTTTATAACATCCATACATACATAAACTTACTTTCTCTTAACACTTGAGGTCTTAGCTTTTAATATTTTAGCCTCAAGTACATCAACGATTTCTGCAAACGCGTTTGTTAAATTAACTTTTATTTCTTTCTCGTAATTTGAGTTGTAGAGTTTATTGCTTTTAGAATAATACTTTTCTTGACAACTGAGAACGCTGCCAAGCTAGCTATATGAATTACATGGATTATATAAATTTCCTAAAAATATTCTTAGATTTTCTAATCAATTTCAATTTTCAAGTCATTGCTCTTCCCGATTTAAACTTTGTTAGTGCAAGGAACTAGCTCATTATGGCCAAAGTAATGCATTTTGAATAGCGAGTTCACTGCTTAAATATGCAGCCAACCAAAATGCTAAAGCAAAATTCTGGCAACTTTGAGCATACTAAAAAATAGAAAGGACTAGTAAAAAACAAAAAAAAATATAAAAATAAAAAAGAAACTGGCAGCGCAAACATGCGAAACTATTAAAAACATGTCTTTGTCCTTTGGCTTTGGCTGCATATAATGAAATTCCCTGGGTGCCTTTCGCTGGGCTCCACGCTCCTAACGCTTCAGACGCTCCTACAGTGCGCCCTCAGTATCAATCTAGGTGAAATATTAACAAGCAAGTCGCAGTCTGAAGTTGCATGCTAAATGGCCGATGTCGGCGACGGCAGCTCATAAAAATTCCTGGCAACAAAGCGGCCACCCTTCCCCTCTCTGCTATCCACTCTGCACTCGGAGGGGCTTGCAAAAGAATGAGAAACTAAAACTGAGACTGAGACTGGAACTGAGACTGAGACTGAGAGCTTGCTTAAAGCGACAACAGACGCTGAAACAATAGACTTGAGTTAACTTAAATTGATTTCCAGACGCGACAGTGTTTAGGGAAATACCAAACCCGCCAGCCTCCTTCTCCCAGCCAACTCAGACGAAAGAAGTTAGTAGCTTTTGCACCTTGATTGCAAGTTATTTGCAATTTTGTGCAAATTTCAAAAATAAAACTGGTAAAAGTACTCTAAACAAGCGCTATCAAAGTCGTGATACTCTTTACCCTTCCATACCATATCCTCTCAAATATTTCATAAATAATAGATATGCTCTCAAGACTAAATGTGGAAAGTATAAGAAAAATTGTTTATATAAATAAATTTTAAATTTTTATAATAAGTGAACAAATAATTTTTAAGCTAATTTAAGGCTAGACCAATAATAATGCTTTATGCTTTTCAAGACTATGAATTCCTTATAGGTACATAAGTGGCGTCTTGTCATATTGCCTTTCCTCATTTTATTTTTTACAGGGTATTGCAAAAAATTCAGCAGACAGGCAGCATGAGTTCCTGGCCGGCGACTTTTATAACGCTGCACTTGAAAATTTCAAGTGTTCAGGCGAAATTTTTGTTGCAATTTGACGGCGTTTGTTGGCCTTTGAAGTTGTGGGGAGGAAGCATTTCTTCAACTTAGCTGCAGTTGCTCAATTTGGTTTTGAATTTCGACTTTTATTTCGTTTCATATTGAAATCGCCAACTCATTTATGCCACTCAATGAACACAGTGACATAGTTGAGACATTCTGAATTGTGAATGATGTCGAAGCTTGTTTGTTGCTGTTGATTCATTTGCAACACTTGCAGCTGACAGTTTGTGAATCAATGTTTATTAGCCAAACGAATTTTGTGATTCAAATACAAAATACAAAATGTCACTGTGGAAATTAAAAAATTAGGTAAACAGATATATAAACTTTGTAACTGTCAAATGAGTTTTAAGTGTCGACAATGCAACAAATAAAACAAGTATGAATGCTCCAGTCAAGTGAGCTTAACTGCAAAGTATCCAGAACCCAGCTGTTAAATATGTTATAGTTTCATTGGCAACCTTCCCCTTAAAGGGTATTGCACTCAAATGGCATTTATTGCTCTTGGAAATCGAAATGTATCGATATTCGAGAAACAGAGGCGGTTATCGATAAAAAAATAAAGCAAACTTGATCTGTGTGAGATATACGAGAACCTATAGTAGTCTCTGAAATCCGCGTGCTCATAGAGACGGATAGATGGACATTGCTATATCGACTCGGCTATTGAAACTGGGCATAAATATATATATATCTAACTTATGGGGTCGGATATGCCTCCTTCTCCCTGTAACAGACATTTTACCATTTAACCTATTTCCAATCGGCTTATCAAAAATTTGATAAAGCTGGCAAGCATTTGAGCGGGTTTGCTTAAATTATATATTTATATATATGGAGTGGAGCATCATAAAAATAGTCTCATTCACCCCAAATTGACTTCAAATTATAATAAGTGTTTGGTCAAACTAATTTGAATACAACTGATATTGAACGATCAGCTGTTAACTTGTCAATTTATCGCTACTTTACATAACTCTGTTAAATCTTGTTCACTTATGTAAACACTACATTGTAATTTTAGGAAATATCGATAGTTTTCACTATCGAAGAGTCCGAGTTGGAGATTCAAGCAGGCCAGACACGCGCTTTTGCTTCGGTCATAAATAAACTTGCTAAATGAAATAGTTTAAACACCGCCCAGATCTGAAGTTTTATTGTTGTATAAAAAACGCTTTATGCATCGAACAATAAGCTTGGATTGAGTGCAATGGACAACTCTTTCAGCAGCTAAACTCATTAAAGTAGGTATACATGATATTAACCTTAATCGTCCAACGTCGAATGTAGACTGATTGCTTATCATTCACCTTGTTGCAGAATCAAGAGCGCAATTCATTAGGCGCTCGCCTACGTCTGACTGCGCGGACTGTTCTTTATTTAACAATGGAAGTGCAACAATGAAAGCGGCATGCGGGCTTCGGGATGAGGGTTAGCGGTTGGGGGTCGCGCTCAAAGTCATTCGGCTCTGTTCATGGAGAGGGAGGGAAGGGGCAGGGGTGTCGCAAGTGCAAACTTTTTAAGTGAATTTTTGATTAGATCTGGACAAAGTTTTTGTCGCTAGCGACAACAAACGGCATCGGATGCATTTCGCCGGAGTTGCCCCTCATGTCCCATTTTCCCCTTGGGAGCTTTTGCTCAACTTAAAGCCGTCCAGTTAGCTGTGCCCTTTGTAATTTGCGCAAAAGTAGATTTATTTGCGCAAAAGGATAATAATAAAATATGCGCTGCAGATAGTAGTAGAACACAAAGTTGCCGGCACTTCCGGACATTGGACAGCTGGACCTAGGCACAATTACGAGACTCAGACTTAGACTGGGACTTAGAACTGTACCTGTTCGTACCAAAAAGTTTTCGCAAACAGTTCACAGTTTCTAGCGGATCCCTTCACTCTCACCATCTTTCTATCTCTCCCTCTCCCTCTCTCTCTCTCTCTCTCTCTCTCTCTCTCTCTCTCTCTCTCTCTCTCTCTGTTCCTCTGAATCGAGTTGAAGTTTTGCGCAAAAGTTAATAAAATTATTTGCCACAGACGTTGATAAATATGACACTAAAGTTCGTAGCAATGCCAAATAAATACAGAGCAGTACAAAATGGCGTCGGCTGCATCTAACGGTGTAAATAATATCGCGGCAGCAGACTAATACTTCTTGAATTTATTTACTCAAGTTTTATTGCATTCTGTGTGCGCTCCTCACTTTAACTGATTGCAGTTGGTATCTCAGTTAGGGAACTCGAAAGAGATGAATAAGTTGTCTATTACCAACTTCATCTATATTTAAAAACCCTATTCGGATAGCAATGATTTAAAAATATAACGATTTATATTTTAAAATAACAAAAAAGGGGAAGTATTTGTGGTAAGCTCAAGATATTTGGCACATACTTACTTGCCCTTGTTATTGGAATGCATTTATAAACTGTTCTCACACTTAGTCACAGTTTTCGGACAATCTCGTCATCTTCAACCGCATCATCTTATCTCTAAGTAAATTTCGTGAAATTCACAATTCACTCTTGCTCTACCCCACATATCAAGAAATAAACAAAAATTGCTATTAAAGCAAAAAAAAAACAAAATAATCTAAGGGATTGCACCCTAGAAACATTTACTATGGAAGGGTGCTTGCCTGGTTTTCTTTTTCCTTTTTGATCCCAGGTTTATTTTTTCCATCCAGATGCATTCGATGTGTGTGTAGTTATTATTCATTGTCGTGCTTCAGCAAATATCAAATAAAGTTTTCTGAGTTGCTTCTGGGGTTTCTACTTGCGATTGTAATTTTTGCTTTCTTTTTTTCCCCCGTTTTTTTCTCTTCTTCTTTTGTACATACACACTTCTAGATTTTGCTATAAATTTTGTGCACATATGAGCGGGGCGTGTGTTTTTTTTATTGGCAACCCCATGACGAGTTTTTGGCTTGAAGTACGATTTTTTAATCGAAACATTTGTAGCGTGAAATTGTCGTTTGGTTTGGTTTGCTTTTCATTTTTTTTTTGTTTTTGCAGCAATATGCTCGCATTTAAATTGTGTGCGGGTTGACTGTGGCTTCGTCATAAATCAGCCATGGCTGTTCATTTGAAAAAGTTGAGCTGTTGATTGAACTTTGACTTTGAATATACTTGCGGCATTACGAGTGCTTGTCATTAGTTGCTCATTAATCATAATTCAAGATGAGCTGGCTAAATATGAGCATGGTATTTAAAATACTGTCACAGCTAAGAGGCAGAAAGCAAGTCCCAAAAAAGGGTTCGAAATTTCATCGATTTGCTGCCATAACAAAATTTTTGACAATAAATCTCAATTTTGCGCAAATTAGTCGACGATATGTCCAAACACCAAGTCAAGACCCAAAAGATGAAGATGAAGCTAACTGATATACGATATGCACACACATCCCTCTACGCCCCCCCCCCCCCCCCTATCAGTTACCTGTTACCTGCATGGGGAAGGGGAGTATAGCAGCCATGTCAG